GAGTGTGGTGTGTGTGTGTGGCCAGCTCAGACCACCAGGGGGCGGGCTGGCTGGCATGTGGTGCTGGGGGATCGAACTGCGGTCCCTGATGCTTTGCTAAGCTTGTTCTAAGTAGGTGCTTTAGACCACTGAGCCATCTCTCCAGCCCCTATTTCTAGTTTTTTAGTACTAGGGGATTGGACCCAGGCCCTTCACACTGAGCCACAATCCCAGCCCTTCCTTCATTTTGAGACAGGGATATACTAGGTCACTAAGTTTCCCAGTCTGGGCTCAAAATGTTGATCTTCTTCTTGCCACAGCCTCCCACTGTGTTGGGACTGCAGGCACATGCCACTGTGTCTTGCTCTCTGTAATATCTTTAATCTTACAATAAGAGAAACATGACCTGCTCGTCTCTCGGTTCACTGCTCCGTTCTCGGCTCCGTCTTCCTCTATGAAGTTTTCAGTGACTTATTGCCCTTGTTTCACTTCCTTCTGTCCTTTTTTCGAACTTCATCTTAAATTACATTACAATCTTCTGTTGTGAAATATTGTAATTTTTGACAGAGGTTTAGAGTCATGTGACCATCAGCGCAATCAAAATAGAGAGCACTTCTATCACCCCAAATATTCCCTCATATACTCCATCTCTTAATGGCCAAATCTCCCATTTCTAACCTCTGGCAGCTGCTAAATTCCTCTGGGTCCCTGTCTTTCTTCTTTCTTCTTTCTTAAATTCATTTCAATCCACTCTTGTCCCTACACTATGATAAGCCTGTGCTTTTGGGTGTCATCCGCCACCTCCATGTGGACTCATCCAGAGATCGCTTTCTGGCTTTCTGTGTTTATTTATTTAACCTCTTAAGGGCGCACAACACAGCTGACCTCTCTTGATTTCACATGGCTTCCTGAAAACCAGATCCTACAAATTCTTTTCCCAACTCAGCACTATACCTGCTGCACGTTAGTGTCTGTGCTACATTCTTCACTGACTTCAAAATATTGGCAATCCCCAAGGTTAACCCTTACACCTCTTTTTCCTCCATACTCTCTTCCTCAAGTTGCATCAGTCTGTCATCTGATGTGCCACTTTAAACTTAAACACAAACTTATTTCTCCAGTTTTGATCTCCTCTTAGAACACTTCTCATATATTTACTGGTCATTTAGGTGTCCAACAGGCATCTTAAATCCAAATGGAGCTCTTGATCTTCCACCTCTAAACCTAACACCATAAAAAAAAAAAATTTGTTGTTTGTTTTTGGTGGAACCACCTGATTGAACTCAGGGCCTTGCGCTTGCCAGGGAAGCACTTATTCTACTGAGCTATCTCCCTAGCCTCCCAACACCACAAAAATTTAACCTATTTTCCTCTACAACTTCCACTCTTTACTAGACATCACTAGCATTTTTCTGATTGTGTGACCAAAACTTATGAGCAATCTCTCTCCCCTCTCTCTCCTCTCTCCTCTCTCTCTCCTCTCTCTCTCTCCTCTCTCTCTGCTCTCCTCTCTCTCTCTCTCTCTCTCTCTCTTCTCTCTCTCGTGCACTCTCGATCTCTCTCTCTCCTTCCCTCTTTTTCTTTCTTTTTTACATTCTGTCTAGCCATAAGTAGTTTCTTTTTTATTTTGTTTTGTTGTGGTACTGAGGATTGAACTCAGGACCTCGTGCTTGCCAGGCAAGTGCTTTTTTCTACTGAGCTATCTCCCCAGCCCAGTAATTTCTATTGATTCTGTTTTAAAACTTCTGCTAATATCCAATCACTTCCCATTACTAGTGTCACTTAATCTGAGACGTTATCTCTGCACTTCTAAGTTTTCAGGAACATTAACCCCGTTTCTCTTGCTGTTTTCTTCAGTGAAAGACAAATCTTATGAACGTAAATTAAGTCAGAACTGCATTACATCTAGAATGAAATCCGAAAGCAAGTTCACAAAGATGCCTATCAGTGACTCATGTCTCCCTTTGCATGACTGTGTCTACCTCTTCCCCAACTTGCTAGCAGAAAGCTCATTCTTCTTAGATGAGCTCATTCTTTCTAGGGTCTTTGCATTGGCTGTTATAGCTAACAGAGATACTCTTTGTTTCTTCTTTTTTCAGTCATAGTCTTTTATTAAATAAAATGAATGCTTTACAATATTAATCGTGGATTTTTTTCCTAATTTTTTCTTTTTTTTATTAATTTTATTGAAACAGATAGTTATGAGAAAGTTTGAAAATGGATTAATAGGACAGTTTCAATAATTAATATATTGCATATTGTTATCTTCTTAGTAGTTATTCATAGTACAAGATGCAGACATGATATCTCAACTACTATTAGTACAAATCTTTCTTCTCACTGAATTTAGAGAAAGTGGCTGTATATCTATCCTATTTTGTATATACAGATACAAAATGGTCCTTCCTTTGTATCCCCTTTTTTTGTTTAGTTTTGTTAGAGATGGGTATTCCATTGACATTTAAATAGTGTAGGTGCATGAATTCAGAAAGTAATCCAATATAGTTCATTAGTCCATAATAGTAGTGGGTTATCCATTGGACTGGCAATGTCAGAAGTCGTTGACATGAGCCTTTTACAGTTCAGCATATTAATATGGCTTTACCTTTTCCCCCATAATTTTATTGAGAGACATATAGCAATGAGACAGTTTCAAATCAAATTGGTAGGAGAGTTTCAATAATTACCACATTGCATACTCCCTTCCTAGTGGTTATTTGCTGTACAAGATGCAGACACAATATCCTATTTATAAACACTATTAGAACAAATCCTTCTACTCATTAAGAGAATGTAACTATATATCTGTCCTAACCATTTTGAATGCACAGACACAAAATGGACATTCATCTGTATTCCCTTTTTTTTCAGTTCTGTCATTTGAATATTATAGGTGTGTTAACTCAGCAAAATATTCTAGAGGAGTCCAGTAGTCCATAATAGTATTGGGTCTTCCACTTGACTAGCAATGTCAGAAATTGTTGACCTGAGTCCCCTACAGCTCAACATCACATCATGGCTTTACTTCTTATACTTCATTTTTATACTTTTCTGCTGGATGGTTAAGACCAAGATAAAGCAAGACTTATGCAACAAGAGTTGTAGCTTTTGTATATGATAAAGTCAGTGAAATCCCCTCAGGATTTATCCTGAGATCCTGTATTTCAGATTGTACA